TATATATATATATAACCAGTGTCTGTCAGAAGAAAGATTAGATTGAGAGCTTATCTTTTCTTCCACGTTAGGTTGTTGGAAAATATTATTTTCCGTTCTGATGGCTTTAATGACCAACAAAGTTTTTCTTTCCATTTGCAGCCTGTGCTGAAGGAAGAGATATGAACTGATGCCAGGGTTAATCTATTTTGTTCGTTTTTGTTATCAAGTAAAAAAGAAACAAAAAAACATTTTGATGGTCCTTTGTGTAACAATGGTTATTATCTGTTAAAACAAGGTGCTGGTTCAAGATACACGTGTGGTTGTGTGAGGCCGAGTTGTTCAAACAAGACTCAAGAGCAGCACGAGGTATTTGAAAACTGGAAATAATATATATTTTGTGACTTTGTGTTTGTCGCAGGCCATCAGAAGCAGGTTGGTCCAGATTTATTCCGAGTGTTTTACACCATTTGGAAAGAGACGGAGGCCGAGGCTCAGGAGGTTTGTACTGCAACGTTCAAATCTAGTATTTTAACATAAAATAAAAATAATAACTTTTTTAAATATATCTATAATAAATGATGACCATGGTGAGCTTTTAAACCACTGCGTTTTGTTTTGTTTTTCACTTAGCATCATTAAAAATATAGCTGACATGTATTTGGCTCAGCGTGTAATAAATCCAATGAAATAACTTCATTTTTTTTTGTTTATTTCAGGTCAGTCTGCCAGCTTTGGTGCTGGAGAACATCGATGCAAGCGAGTGCGTCTTTAAGCTTTCCTCTTCAGTGAAAACCAGCCGTGGCGTGGGGAAGATCGCCATGACGCAACGGCGGCTTTTCCTGCTGACAGACGGGAGACCGGGATACGTAGAGGTGGCACATTACCGAGATTTAGAGGTGAGAGGGGAAAACCACGAACAAACAAGTACCAATCAGATAGAATAAAACATATTCGAGCGACCCTCGTGTTTCCTTGCAGGAGGTGAAGGTATCGTCTGCTCCTTTGCTGCTTCTGCGAATTCCCAGCTTGAAGCTTCGCGTTCGAGGCAGAAAGGAGGCGTTCGAGGCAAACTTGAAAACGGAGACTGAGCTCTGGCACCTGATGGTCAAAGAAATGTGGGCTGGCCGAATCATCGCAGACCAGCACAAGGTAAAACTGCGATTGAGGAACAGGGGGCGTGTGCAGGGGGGGGTAAGAGTGAACGCAGGAAAAATGGGAATAAAAGGATAAAACTCATWCAGTGATTTATTTGCCTTTTTGACCTTGTTTTTATCTGCGTTTGTGCATTCCTGTCTGTGAACTTAAGTGAACTCTGTGGGTGTGGCTGAAGTTCCTCGAAGCATAAATAATCAAAAATGTGCTCGCTTGAGCAAAAACAGATGGTTTCCTTTGTGAAACCAGAAGATGTTACAATAATTCCTCTGTTACACTTATTGCGCCCCACTTTTTACCCTCTTTAATACAGTTTTAATTTGTCTTTCAGTTCCTCTTACGATGTTTGCACTGACAAAATTATWTTATAAATATTATAAAATATATTATATAATATTTGCACAAGCACTGATTTTAAAAATATTTCACCCTTTATTAAAAAGCCTGATTATATTAAGCTTTTGACACACCTATTAGTGTCTCCGAAGTTTTATTTCTAACCATGTAGTTAATTTTAACATTTAGCTAAATTATTTGAGTAATTTTCACACCTAAAGTGCAATAAATGTGTGTTTCAGCAAGTTATTTTTATTTTTCATGAACTGATCCGTCRTTCTCTTCAGGATCCGCAGTACATGCAGCAGGCTCTGACCAACGCCTTGCTCATGGATGCGGTYGTGGGCTGCCTTCAGAGCAGTAAGGCCATCTATGCTGCTTCAAAGCTGGCTCAGTTTGACCGCATCAAGATGGAAGGTAGAGAGTCGCTCGTGAAGATGATCTTGTCTGATGTAAAATATGTTTAAAGCTCAATTTTTGAAAAASAATCAGTGGGATTTCTCTGTACCTGCAAAATTGGGGGGAAATCCGTGTMATTTACAGACAATCCATACGACTTGTATGTTTTTCTTTATTTCCACGGTCTTTATGTTAAAGGTTAATTACTTCTCTTTTATGTTTCAAGTTCCGATGATGATTCCCAAAACAACTGCAGAGACGCTGAAGCATAAAATAAATCTTTCTGTGGAACTGGCTGCACCTCAGGCTGTGGATGCCCTTTTGTACACACCAGGTACACACGTAAACACACACACTACACATAGGGGTTTTCCCTTGTGTGGATCAGGCAAAATGTCAAAACAAGGGTTTCCTAATGTCCCAAAAATGTCCACACAAAGATGGCAAGACGTGCGCATACACACGTTTTGTTCTTCTATCCTCACATTGACTTCCACTCATTTACAGACCCCTTCCTTTAATCTAAACTCAATTTAGTCCCAACTCTAACCCCTGACCCACCAACGGTATTTCCCCTGATGGGGACTGAGCTTTTGTCYCCAAAAGKAATAGTGGGTTCTTACAAGGCTGTGCAAGAAAAATGGCCCCAAATCGTCCCCACCGTGCGCACTAACAATACTCCTGAATRAGTCCAGTAACCGAGCCAAATGTCCTCCATCCTTCTCACCACCCTGACAGCAGGTGTCTGGTTTCTCTACTCTGATTGGTCGGTGAGGGAGTCGTTGAAGAAGCAGAGCAGAGTTTCAGAGTTTGCTGCTAACCCTCCTCACATCGTCCAGTAACAGAAAAAATCAAAACATCGGGCGGCTCTGAAAACGTTACTTCCTCTTCTCTCTTCTATTTTTACCGGAAGGTGGAAGGGATTTGGAAATGCGCTGAGAAGGAAACATCCTCTCAAGATGATGTAAGAAGTCATAAATGGGAAGTTTATCACGTCAGTGGAAGCTGTGAAATCTCGAATGAGAGCTCATTGTCACCTAAAGTATTCACTCATGTCAGTAATATAAGCTGTGAGTTTTAGGGAAAACAATCATTCATTGTTGTGAAATTGTAAATCAAAAAACACTACAGTTAAATGTCCATCCAACCAAGTTTTGAAATCTTATATCCAGCCAAAAAAAGTCATTTTGATCTTGTTTTGAGACTGATTTACTAAACAAGAACTGAATGTGTAAGATTATTTCATGTTAGCCTGAAAATTTGACTCAAATTAAGTCAAAAAATTTCTGCCAATGGAGTAAGAAAATTTTACTTGGTAAGATTCTTGAAATACTTGATTTGACTCAATTTTTTCTAATTTCAAGAATCTTACCAAGTAAAATTTTCTTACTCCACTGGCAGACAATTTTGACTTAATTCGGGTCAAATTTTCAAGCTAACAGGACAAATAATCTTACACATTCTGAAAACAAGATTATTATTCTTACACAATCAGTTCTTGTTTAGGAAATCAGTCTCAAAACRAGATCAAAAAGACTTTTTGGCTGATATAAGATTTTAAACCTTGGTTAGATGGACAGTTTTACAGCGTGATCTCCTGCAGCTGAAATTTTACCGTTTTAAACCTTTTATGTTCAACTTTTTATACCTGACTAATCTGACTAGAACCATGTTTTCAAACCTCCCCGAGTCTTCAGAGTTGCTGAATTCTACCGTTGTCTTTGTTTTTTGTACTGGTGGCAACATGGTCCGCACAGTTCTTCTGTAGTAGTTTTCTCTTTGGGTTTACTGTTGCAGGAAAGAACACGGCCATTCATGCCCCTCCCTCGCTGCCCAGTTCTGGCTCAAACACCCTTTCTGGTTTGAATGTAGGTCACAGAATTGCATTTCTGGCACAGAACCAGCTCTCTCCCACCTCCTCTTTATTTATTTCACCACCACTCCCTCCTTTCTGCCTTCTCACTTTTTTATTTTAACTTACTGCTCGAGCTCTAACATACAGGATGCAACCTCCTCTTTTTTTCCCCCCCACCAGCACTGTTTTTATACACAGTAACTGTGAAAATGTTGGAGGAAACCTGACATTTTAGCCTGGGTGGAGTCCGAAAAATGTCGTTGAGTGCTCGACTGTGAAGTTTTTATTTAAACTGTTGGATCGTTCTTGTTGATTTTACATCAAAAAGCACAAGTTGATTTTTACAGATCGCATAAAATTACTAACTTCCTAATGTAATATAATATTTGTGTATCTTGTAAATATCTTGATTTATTTGTAACATTTGAATCTGTGCTGAGAAAAGTTAAAGTATAATCGACTAAGTGTGTGTTTGTGTGTGTTTCAGGTCAGTTATGGGTGTCTGTGAGCGGAGGAAAGGTGATGGTGTTTGATGCCTCCAGCTGGTCCCTCATAAACACCTGTCAAGTTGGGAATGCACGAGTGGTAAGAAACGGTATAAACTACAAACAGAGATGCACAGCAGGAACAAATAAGTCATTTTTATACCTGACAGAATTTAAAATAGTGATTTATCGAATGATTTGTGATTAGAAAAGCTAGAATGAGGTCACTTAAATTCACGAAAACAAGCTGAGCTTCGATGTAATTCTCACACAAAAGTATTTTTTATGAGTAACTATATAAGTCACCTTTTGTCTCGGCAAACACCCTCCACGTTTCTGCACTTTTCTTCCTGGAGGAAAATTACTGCAAYGCTTTGAGTTGTCTAAATCACTGGCAGTCTCATGAATCATGTATACTTTATTTTTCATATTTAGCAAAAAAAGCGATGGAAAACTATTTCTTGTGTGCATAGTTTTAAGTCGTAAAGTAAATGTGTGTAAAAACAGTGACAGAAATCTTTGTTTTGTCGGAACACTTTCTGCCACCCAGTGGATACTTTGGGTATTGCTTTGTAGAGCGTATCTTATTAATTAAATTATATTTATGTGTGTTAGTACAACCCAAAATGCTGATTCTTAAGGTCAGTAAATCAAAAATTTATTTGTAGCAACATCATTTTTTAATAGTCTGTGGTTATTTTCTTTATTACAGTTTTAAATATATGCTAAAACATTTAATSTCATAAGCTAGATTGTCTATTTATTTCTAGATTTGTAACCAAAACTTTCTGTTTATTTTTGACTTATTTATTTTATTAATATCTTGATGGTCTGCTGTGGTTTAATTCTGCTGACACAAGGAGCATCAGGTTTCAGGAAATCTGTTGTGCATTTATTGTTTTCTGTCAAAAGATGTTTTCAAACAAGACCTCCTTTTAACGCTCAGCCTGTTTTATTCATCTAAAAATGCTGTTTTAACTTTGAGTCCTGAACCAGTTATGTTCTCTTATTGGTCACAAAGCCTCCTGATGAGTGTCTCTGTTTGCAGAACTGCATCCTGGGAGTTGACAAGGACCAGGTCTGGATTGGCTCTGAGGACTGCGTCATTTACATCATCAGCGTGTTGTCCATGATCTGCAACAGACAGCTGACAGAGCACAGGGCAGAGGTCACCGGACTCGCCCTCGACACCGACAAGTACAGGTAACACACACACACACACACACACGCACGCACGCACGCACACACACACACACACACACACACACACACACACACACACACACACACACACACACACACACACA